CCTGCAGAGGCTGGGGGGGCGGTGGGACTCCGGGCTTTGCAATAAAAGGGGCGCTTTCCTCTCGTTGCAGACACCTCCCAAGTCTTTTCTCCTGGAGAAGGCGAGATCCGGCTCGGCGCTGGCCTGGCTGGGGCTTACTGCTTGTTAAGTAGAGTTGGGAGCGGTGTGACATCGCGCCGCCAGTCCCTTCCCTCCTGAGAAAGGGTAGCTGCTTTCTGAGCCATCACATCCCAACCTCATGTATTCCTAAGATTGTCATCAGCTTCTTGATTTCCTTTCTGAGGCCTTACAGAGGTTTAATTGCTTGTAGTGGTTATAAAGTAATTTAAGATGTTTGTGCTACTCGGTTTTAATTCTCTAATTGACTATATTAAGAGGCATCGTTTTAACTTGGGAATGGTTAAGTGGCCAAAGCATTAACTTATTTACGGATAAGGGCTGTTTTGTATGACTACTGTTGGCCTGCAACTTAAACTTGCATCTTTTATTTTTTTATCCTATGCTTTTTCTGTGTTATGGCTGCTGCAACAATAGTTCATGATACATCAGAAGCCGTAGAGCTCTGTGCTCCCTGTGGGCTATACCTTAAACCCATTACAAAAATGACCATCAGTGTGGCACTTCCTCAGCTGAAGCAACCGGGAAAGTCCATTTCGAACTGGGAGGTGATGGAAAGGTTGAAGGGGATGGTGCAAACCCATCAGTTCTCCACGCTGCGGATTTCTAAAAGCACAATGGATTTCATCCGGTTCGAAGGAGAGGTCGAGAACAAGAGCTTGGTGAAGTCTTTTCTGGCATGCCTGGATGGCAAAACCATAAAGCTGAGTGGCTTCTCTGACATTCTGAAGGTGCGTGCTGCGGAGTACAAGATTGACTTTCCCACCAGGCATGACTGGGACTCGTTTTTCCGTGACGCTAAAGACATGAATGAGACTTTGCCTGGGGAAAGGCCAGACACCATTCACCTGGAGGGCTTACCTTGCAAGTGGTTTGCAGCAAAGGAGTCTGGCTCAGAAAAGCCGAGTGAAGAAGTTCTTATAAAAGTGTTCCAGAAGTTTGGAGAAATCCGTAACGTGGACATACCCATGTTGGACCCTTACAGGGAAGAAATGACTGGCAGGAATTTCCACACTTTCAGTTTTGGAGGCCATTTGAACTTTGAAGCATATGTTCAGTATCGAGAGTATGCAGGTTTCATCGAGGCCATGAATGCCCTGCGAGGGATGAAGCTGATGTACAAAGGTGATGATGGCAAAGCAGTGGCTTGCAATATAAAGGTGAGAAGCTGCAGGTTGCTTTGTGGGGAACCCCAACACCCATGTGAAATGCAAAGTACAACTAAATGTTATTTCCCTAATGTTTGCAACTTACATCCTCAATACTGTAGTGTTGGCAATAGGTGATGCTAACAGCACTAATGTAGTTTTATGGAACAGCCATAATAGAGTTTTTAAAGGAAAATGTTGGCAGAAAAATGTGTCATTGTGCAGAGAGAAACAGACTCCAGATGATCTAATGTGAATTAGGCTGAAGCCACTTTATTACAATTCTACTGTCCCTCATATACAGTGTTTGTCTCTGTGCACACAATCGTGCATAAAATGATTGGATAAAGCTTTTGTTCACGTGCCTCTAAGAGCTAAATGATAGGTTAAATATCTCTGTTCACGTGCCATTAATAACTATGTGATAGGTTGGATAAGAGTCTGGCTCAGTCCTCCCTTCACAGGTGTTTTTGCTCTTCTGTTCCCTTTATCTTATCCTTGCAGAGTTTGTTTTCATCCTCCCTTTGTGCTTGGCATGCATCTCCCGACCTTGTACGTGTTTAGTTCATCTTCCTGTATGGCTGGTTCACAATGTGTCCATTTTCTTCTAAGTACATTGTCTCGACATCATTGAAGAGTAGCTTTTTGCTTTCTCCTTAGTAAGAGAGTTCTAGAAGTGAGAACTTCTGATGGAAGGGTCAAGTATATGACTTGATGACTTTCTAAACATGATGTTCTAAATAGTTTTAGAAAATAATGTGTATTTATCAATCTTGTGATTTCACTTAGAATTCTCATTCTGAACAAGCTCATGTGAGTGTCACCAGCAGGTTCACTCTAAAGTGTATTGTTCTTTCTTGTGTTCACTACAAAGAGAAATTTTGGGGGTATTTCACAACCTCTGTGTTTGGTCCCTTTGTTGATAATGAGGTGTACCAGACAGGTGTGAGGACTGTGAAGTTTAATAGTGTGTGGCTTGTACAGGCTGGAGAGTACAGTTAGTCATTAGTGTACCTCATGTACAGAAAGAACCCACAAAGGTTTCATAGAATCATAGAACTTTAGGCATTGGAATGAACCTTAGAGATCATCTAGTCCCAACCCCCTGCCAGGACAGGGATACCTCCCACCAGAGCAGGTTGCTCAAGGCTTCATCCAGCCTGGCTGTGAACACTGTCAGGGTTGGGGCATTCACTACTTCCCGGAGCAACCTGTGCCAGTGTCTCACCACCCTCATAGTAAAAAACGTTTTCCTAATATCTAGCCTAAATTTCCCTTCTTTCAATTTGAACTCATTACCCATGTCCTGTCACTGCACTTCCTAACAAGTTTAAATGAATGGTCATCTGTAGCACGGTTTCCCATGAATGGACTATGCTTAATTCATAATATTTACATACTGAGTTTTCCAAATCTGTTTTTCTGCAACCTCATTGCCTCAGTAGTTACAGCTATGACAGGAGAGAATAAGAGAGTCAGTTCAGATGTGGTACCTATGAAAGCATGGCCTAAAGAAAGCTTACTCTGTTTGGAGGTAGTCTGGGCATTTACATATTGGTTGAGTGAAATGTTTGTGCATTTACTTCAGTATGCTTAGTAGTCATTCATCAAACCAGAAAGTGTATTTTAGGAAAAAGTATCCCTTTGTATAATGTGGGGGCAGGCAAATACTTATTCAAGTTGTGATTCAGTCAGTGTAATTAAAATACTGTAAATTTTTATCTTATTATCAAAGCTTGTCAGTTGCAGCAAAGAAACTGTGCCTTGACCCTGTGAAATTCAAACTGTCACTTGCATGCAGGGGATCAGGGTTCCCAAATTTAGTTTGGCTGTACAGGAGGAAGCATGTCTTCCTGACAGCTGCTGTGTCAAGACACATCTCTGTCATACAAGGTCACAACACCTTGTCTGTTTCTACTTATCTGTCTTTTTAGCCTGTTAGTGAAACATCATTTTATGTAGCTCTTGGGTGAATTAAACTGCAGAGTGTGTGCTCCTTGTTCTCTGCCCTGTGGTGCATGACCATGGGTCTGTGTGGATGGATGTGCACAGAATGGGAGCTTAGGACACTGGGGCTGTGATGTCTGCTGGTGTCCTGTTCCAGCACCCAGCTGGACATGGCCAAGGTGTGCTCACGTGTCCTGGAAGCAGAGCATTTTCAAAGTCTCATTGACTAGATATGTGTATCTTCCTCTGCTCTTGTGTTTCCACAAATTGGGATCTTCGGCCCAGTGTACGTCAATTTGGGAATTTTGGTGTTAGAGCTGATGGGGAGGCACTTGCTTTAAACAGGTTCTGAAGGTTGTAGAACTTTTTTTTTCTGCTGAATTTAAGGATCACATTTTAGACAAAAAGAGAGGCCTGTATTTAGGCCCATTTCTACCTAGTGCTGTACAGTCCCTATCAGCATGCATTAATTCAGAGTTCCACATTTGCCTGTTCTGACATGTTGAAAACATTGGACAGCCAGGGCCTAAACCACACTGGAGTTTATTTTTCATTGTGAGACACAGAAATACAAAGAGGTGTCTGATTTTGCTAGTGTTGCATGTGTTTAGTTCCCAGTTACCTGGTTACCGCAGATGGTGCTTGCACTGGGCACATAGAGAAGTTCCCTTTGCTTTGAAAAGAAAAGGGTTTTATATTCCTGATTGTACTTAGCACTAGGTTGAAATTGTGTAGGTTGTCAGGGACCTCTTAATTTTTTTTTGCCTCCTTAAAACTGTTTTCAATTGTATCCTGTAAAGGTTTCTTTTGACTCCACAAAACACCTCAGTGATGCATCAATTAAGAAGCGTCAGCTTGAAAGGCAAAAGCTTCAAGAGCTTGAAAAACAGAGAGAAGAACAAAAACGTAAAGAGAAAGAAGCTGAGGAAAAACAAAAAGAGGAAGAAAGGTATTTATTGCTTGTTGCTCAGTTATATTTTTAACAGTCAGGCGTACCAAAACTATAGCTGCTCTTTCATGTCAGAATCAAAAGATAGAAAATTACTAACCACAAGTTTCCTGTAGCTAAAATGAAGCACTTAGTGCAGAATAGGGTTATTTAGATTATCACTGATGTTTATTTTCAGTTCTAAATATTAAACTTGCAAAATACTCGATTTCCTAAAAATCATGCCTTTAGACTCGTGATCTCAGAAACCCTCAGCCTTGGACATAAGGTACCATGTGGCCCTAATGACTGAAATAAAAGCCACCACCCCTGCACACATTAATTGGCTTGGTATTCTCACCATATTTCACTGCCCAGTGCCTCATGCATTGTTACTAGAATTGTAGAATCATCAGGTTTGGAGGAGACTTCTAAGATCCAGTCCAACCATTAACCTGCCACTCTGCTGGAACCCCTAAACAATATCCTCCAGCATCAGATCCAGATGCCTCTTAAACACTTCCAAGAGTGATGACTTCACCGCCTCCCTGGGCAATCTGTTCCAGTGCCTGACCCACCCTCAGGCAGATCAACACTCCTGTCCAACTTAGTGTTGTCTGCACATTTACTGAGGGTGCACTCAATCCCCATGTCCAGATCATCAATAAAGATGTTAAACAGGACCAACCCCAATACTGAGCCCTAGGGAACACCACCAAGGATCAGCTGCCAATTGGATTTATCTCCATTTACCGCAACTGTCTGGGCCCAGCCATCCAGCCACTTTTTACCCATTGAAGAGTCCACCTATCCAAGCCACAAGCAGCCAGTTTTTCTAGAAGTATGCTGTAGGAGACGGTGTCAAATGCCTTGCTGAAGTCCAGATAGACCACACCCACAGCCTTCCCTTCATCCACAAAGCTATTCACTTTGTCATTGAAGGAAATCAATTATTTCTAGTCACATTGATTTAAAAATAATTCTTTATTGTAGCCATGTTTTGTCTTTGGATTCTAGCTTAATTTTTTTAAATTTACAGGCAAATGACTTTTTGCTATCACTAGTGGCTAAAATGTTCAGTTTTCTACTTTTGTTCTTCAGTGATCAGCAAGACTTACATAGAAACAAATTCACTGAAAGTATAAAATGTATTTTTTTATAGAGTAGGAGTCTAAAATTGTACCTGGCCTAGATAGGGTAAAAATATTCATCTCTTTGTAGAAAGCAGAGAGAGCTTGAAGAGTATGAGAGAGAGAGGAAAAGAGAAGAAAAGTTGCGCAAGAGAGAACAGAAACAGAAAGATCGTGAAGTTCGACGAAACAAAAAGCAACTTGAAAAGCTTCAAGCTGAAGAACAGAAAAAACTGCAAGAGAAGATAAAGCTAGAAGAAAGGAAGCTCCTGTTAGCTCAGAGAAATCTTCAGTCCATTAGATTAATTGCAGAGCTGCTAAGCAGGGCAAAGGTAATTTAAATATTTATTTCAGAAGCTAATGAAAACCCAGCAGAGCAAATCCATCTTATTGGCTTGAGAGGGGGCAGGGAGCACTGTTCATTAAACAACAGGTTTCCTACCTCTCCAGATGCTATTCCTTAGACCAAAAATTCAAAAAAGTGCAATGAAACAGTATTTCTCCCTTGGTAAAATATGCAGAGTCAACAATTGTGGACTAGTAATGTTTCACCTTGCAACAGTTGTGTTTTAGTGGGTTTTGTTGATTGGTTGGGTTTGGATTTTTTTCCCTTTAAGAGGGAAAGCTTTTATTTTGGGATAGTTAAGTTCTGTTTGTTAGATTTTATTTTCTTGCCATATTGATGCTTTAGTGTTATGGTATAACTTAAAATCATGAACAGGTATATAAGTAGTTTTTGGTTACTCTTCCCTTTGCTTGTTTTTCAGGCGGTAAAGCTTTTGGAGCAAGAACAGAATGAAGAAAAGATTTGTCTTCAGCAGCTAGAGGAGAAACGAAGGCTCCAGGAGGCTGAGCTTAAACGTGTGGAAGAAGAAAAAGAGAGAGCACTGGGGCTGCAGAGAAAAGAAAAAGAACTGAGGGAGAAACTACTGAACAATCTTCTGAGCAAGAAAATGGATGCAGTTAACCAAAACAGAGAAGAAACCGAAGCATCTCAGTCTGATGTGCTGAAAAACCCTAGTGGTGTTCCCCACACTGTGTCATCCAGCTGCATCACTTCTACCTCAGGGCAGGCTCTCACAGGCAAACTGACTCCTGGCACTCAGATAGAAGTAGCATCCCCTGAAAGAATAAATGTTCAATGCAAGTACTTAAATGGTAACATACATGACAAAGTTCATGTCAAAGAAGATCAGAATCTTCATACTACAAACTCTGAGAGGTGTTCTGAGAAAAGAGGCTTGGGAGTACTTTCCTGTGTTCCTGCCAATAACCAGGAGCAGAAGAGCCCCTCTCACTATGACAGGAATACTTGCAGGAAGGACTTGCACTGTGAGCAGGACAAACGTAGCTCAGAGCCAAGGAGAAGAAAGAGCCGTTCATGTAGCAGCATAAACAGTGATGAGAGTAAGGGTAAACGAGAGAGAAGCAGACACAGAAGAGACGTGAGTTACCGGGATGAAAAGCACAGGAAAGAGAGGAGGTACTACAGACACTCTAGCAGGAGTTACAGCCCTCGGCGCAGTCGGAGCCCTCGTCGGAGGAGTGTAAGCCCCAGACACTCCCGGTACAGGAGAACTCGCAGCAGGGAACGCAGACGAGACAGGAGAGACAGAAGTCGCAGTCGCAGAAGTGTGAGCAGAAGGCGAAGGTACCGGAGGTGATCGCTGAATAAGCAAGGGAATACTTGGAGTGGGTAGTGGAGGCCTTGGCTCCTTTCAAAAGCTGTAGTTGGACAAAAGGGCCAGAAAGGTGCAAACCAGACCTCATCGGTGTGACAGCTATAGAAAACACATATGTTTCAACCAATGCTTAGCTTGCATCTAGTCCCTGAAATCAAGAAAGTAGATGCCTGATTTTTTTGACATTCCTACCTTTGTTGTCTCTTTGTATGTTTTGACCACAATGTAGGTATAACCACCCGTGCTTGTGCTCAAGTTCCTACAGTGCTAAAAGCCAAGCTGTTTTCTTAATTTTCAGTTTTCGAAACCTTAATTTTAGTGTCTTTAGTTTTTATTTCTGTATCACCTAATTTGTCTTGAGAATTATGTGGGTGCCAGTTATGGGAACTCCAGATGTGGCAAGCTGTTACATACAGGTCTGATCTAAAATGTTCTCTGGTGCATTCAATGAAAGCTCTACAAAGTAGAGTTTTTCCTAATTGGGGTGGATAGCAGGACTTTCATATTTTTCTTAAAATTGACTATAAAGATATGCAGGTTATCTTTTAAACTGCTATGATTCCTTCATATGATGTATGTATGATGCCAAGCTTGGTGGCCCAAATTATTCTGGCATGTAATAATAATACTTTCCATGTAAGAGAGGCACACTGGTGTAGGAAGTAAGAAGCAGTGGTAAAATGGTTGAAAGTTGTTCTGGTATTTTGTTGATGTATTTGGTTTTGTAATTGCTTCAGGTGGTATAGAGCTACTTGAAACATTTTTTTCAGGTGCATAAAGAGCTATACATTGTCTTGAAAAAGGGGCCTTCTTGCTAAATTATTTTTACTTGTGTTGTTGGAAAGTAAGGCTGCAGTGTTTCTTGTTAAATCCATTTAAGAATACTTCTGCTTCTAAAATGCAGCTCAGGAATATTAAAAGCTATAACGTTACAGTGAAAGAGTTTATTTTGCATTTTTATGGTAAAATTAAAAAGAAAACTGTTTCGAGTGAACTGAAGTTGCTGTTTTCATATGTCAGTATATTAAAATCTGCAGAAGTGTTGTATAAGAACCCATTTGTTGAAAGCATCACTCAGGACATTTGAATAATGAAGTTCAGCTGCTCTTCTTGCTGGTCCTGTTATGTTACAGCGAAGTCAATTGCTAATTCAGCATGACGTGTGCTCTTTATCTACAGCCTTCAGATGCCATTTTCCTCACACTGATGCGTGAAATCAAAGCACATCCATTTCCTGAAGTGTCTGAGGAGAACATTGATGCTGCAGCTCAGCTGGATCCCTGCCGGACTGAGTTTGTCTGCATTACTTTCAGTGAATCCATGTGGGGTTAGTTTCTTACTAAACCATGATGCTGAAATCTTTGTAGTTACTAGCTGTGGACAGAAAAGGTAGATATTGACAGCACTAAATTGTGAGGAGCTGTTGTGTTCCTCAAAGACACACAGGCCCAGATGAAATAGAGGGCTGGGCAATCACCAACCATATGAAATTTAGCAACAGCAAGTTCTAGATTCTGCACCTGGGATGGGGCAACCCTGGAGGTACATACAGACTGGGGAACGAGACACTGGAGAGGAGCCCTGGAGAAGGATCTGGGGGTCCTGGTCAACAGCAAATTGAATAGGAGTCAACAGTATACCCTGTGCCCTGGCAGCCAGGAGGGCCAGCCAGGTCCTGGCGTGCATCAGGCAAATCATTGCCAGGTGGTCGAGGGAGGTGATTGTCCTGCTCTAGTCTGCCCTGGTCTGACCTCGTCTTGAGTACTGTGTGCACTTTTGGGCATAACTATATAAGAACGATATAAAGCTATTAGAGTGTCCAAAGGAGGGCTACAAAGATGTGCTCTGGAGGGGAAAGCATATGAGGAGCTGCTGAGGTCACTTGCCTTGTTCAGCCTAGAGAAAAAGATTCTGAGGAGAGAAGTCATTGCAGTCTACAGCTTCCTCATGAGGGGAGGTGGAGGGGCAGGCACTGATCTCTGATGACCAGTGACAGGGCCAAAGGGAATGGCATGAAGCTGCATCAGGGGAGATTTAGGTTAGACATTAGGAAAAGGTTCTTCACCCAGAGGGTAGCTGGGCACTGAACAGGCTCCTCAGGAAATGGTCACTACCAAGTTGCCCAGATTGATATCTTGGAGTGAGGGTCTTGATAATGTCGGGGTGATAATCAGGCAGATGTTACTTTATCGTGCTATTTTCAGGAAGTCATCAAGCTATGAATTCAGAGTCATGGCCAAGGAGTGGAAACAGGTGAAACAGTGGCAGTCACCAAATGGTGTTTTGGAGTCATATTAGAAGAATCCAATTTTTGGATTGTTGGATAGTTGATACAAATAAAAATACTATACTTGATAGGTTATTTTTCTCCAGAAAAGGTGCCAAGATCAGGTTTCATATCCCTCCCTGAAGTTTTTTAATTCTATAGGATCCCTTGACATTTAGGGCAATTTCTGAGGCCTGAAAAAATCACAGGATCATAGAAAGGTTGGAAGGAACCTTAAAGATGGTCTAGTTCCAACCCTCTTGCCATGGATAGGGACACCTGCCACTAAACCAGGTTGCTCAGAGCCTTATCCAACCTGGCCTTGAACACTGCCATGGTTGGAGCAGCCACATCATCTCTGGGCAACCTGTTCCAGTGGCTCACCACCCTCACAGTAAATATTCTTAATATGTGATCTAAACCTACTCTCAGTTTAATGCTATTACACCTTGTCCTATCACTACATGCCTGGAGGATATTTGGCTGTCAAGCTTCAGTAATTGTTCAGTTTAACACACTGTATCCAGTACTGGCTTCATACAATGTCCTAAAAGTGCAATAACGTAAAGTGAGTTTGTAGTGCTTGTATTGTCTTCTTTTCACAGCAACTTCAGGAAGAAAAGCCTGAAAGTGCATTGAAGTTACTTGCAAATGCTTACTTTTCAAAATGCAGAGGGAATGTGGAAGAAGTCCTCTTTCAGTTGGATGGCCGAACCAAATCTCTTGAAATTCCTAGTATCTCAAGTCTCCCAGTAACTGCTCAGTGCAGAGTTTTACCTCGTCTAAAACTTAGCAGTAATGTTGCTTCAGGCATGTGTTTTGCATTAAAGCTCAAAAAATCTTTTCAGTGGCGAATCCTCTGAAATGGGTATTGTGTCATGTGTCCTTGTACTGGGTCTGGCTGTGATAGAGTTAACTTCCTTCATACCTGCTGGAATGGTGCTGTGCTTTGGATTTGTGACAAGCAGTGTTGATAACCCACCAGTGCTTTACCTGTTGCACAGCAGTGCCTGCACAGTGTGTCAAAGTCTTCTCTTTTTCTCATTTCATACGCACCCCTGCCCAAATGGGTGGACTGAGGTTGGGAGAGGACACAGCTGACCTCAACTGACAGATGAATATCCTGTGCCATATGACATCATGCTCAATAAAAATGGGTTTTGTCTTTCCAAGGTAGTCTCTGCTGGGCATCAGTTTGCTTGTGGCCTTCATTGATGATGGGTTTTGAACTGCAAGGAAACTTGAGAAAGAGTTGTAACTCTAATCTTAATAAGGTCACAAATATAGATTATGTCATTCTCAATGATTTTTTCAGGTTTTTATTATGGCTGAGATATGTGCTTGTACTACTGCAAAAACCTCTCTGATGCAATAATTTTAAGAATATAATTTTTGATAGCAAACAAATGCTCTTTGTTCTGCATTGATTGTAATCAGTCTACTTCTACTAAGTATCTTCAAGGGGTCTTAGTGTTTCAAGTGAAAGAATCTAGGATACCAGCAGCCTTTATATTGGCTTCCAGAAGCTGAGGTACCAAAGTTGCTGATGTTTTCCCCTACTTTGGAAGACTGTTATGATGCTAATTGCATACATCTTACCTAATTGTTTGGATTTGGAAGACTGACTTTCAGGACTTGTCTAAAATCAGATAAAATCAGTTGGGTTTTTTTCCACTTCAGTGTATGTCTGTTTTGTGACCCTGAGTTCATGTGAAAAAATGAGTATTTATGATCTGTTCTTTGCTGGTTTAGCTGCTTTAGAGCAATGTTCCTTTGAAAAGAACTTCAAACTTTGATCTAAATAATGAAGGAATTCCAATAATCCACATTACTGTTCTGTCTCATTGTTAGATATGCAGTGCTTAAATCACTCTGCAGTCACAGGCTCTGATAGAAATGTTAAGGAAACTGAAGAGTGTAGGATTTAGCATCTAATATTAATCAAAGACATACTAAACTAACAAGTGCCTCTGAAACATTGAATTTCTGTTGACAGGCTTGAGTATTGGATGGAGTCTGACTTAGCCACTATGCTAATTCTGCTTTTAGACCCTTAGTTGCTATAAATCCAGTCCAGTGAGAATGTCTGCAAAGATTCACTTCTGTCTGCCTATATACTCCTGAAACTTGTCAAGGAGTATTATGTGCCAGTAGTAACCTAACTCTCTGCCTAGGCTTGTCTGGAATTGCATGACTTATGTCCCGTTGCATCAGTTACATATCTTATTCCATTTGTCTATCAGTGGTTAAGGTTTGGTTTTGTTTTGGTGCCTTTGCTCCCCTGGATTGTAAGCAGGAATTTATATTTATTCACTGTGTTTATCAGAACATCAAAGATCTGGCTGAACAAGACTGTGTTTGTTACTTCTCCGTTACACTGCCATTTGGAAAGTTGGAGCCCTGATATCAGGTTTTATCGTGACTGAATGGATTGCAGCCCCAAAGTTATAGGGTAGACAAGTCCTTCAAGATGGTGGAAGACTTCAGTACAAGTTATTCTTCCAGAATTGCTAAGTTTATCCCATGCATTTGACTTTTTTTCATCCTGCTTTCAAAATCTGGAGCTCTTCCCATGCTACTGCAAAACCTAGAACTCAAATAGTTCCAGCTTCTTGCTCTGTGCCAGGCAGCCGTACCTGTCAAGTTTCCTTTAAAATCAAGCTTTGGTGCTGGAGAAGGCTTAAGTACACTCTTAACTGGTATGTTTTTTCCTTCA